GGGATAACTGGATCCAAAGGGCTTCAGCCTCAGCTTGTGCACTGTGCCTCTTACCCGAGTATTGCCCCTTATTTCAGGAAGGCAAGACTAACATGTCTGGAAGGTCAGACGAGTATCGTAGTGGATCCAGAATGACTTCCAGATGCAGGATAGGTATCATAGGGCTAATCTGGATGAGTCCAGAACTAGAAACTAATGGTATAGACTGTTGGAGACAGAGGCAGATATGGATAGACTATAGGAATCAATCCTAAGTCCTCAGAGGGTGATGAAGAGTAGAGATACCCAAGTCTGGAGGAGTGGGAATGAGTAGAACAAGATGATATTTGAACTGAGGTGCACAGAGAGTTGCAGGAGGTTATATACTATAGATTTCTAATGGAATGATCAATCAGCAGAGTCCAAGGCTATGTACGAAGCATATGGGTAGTCTATTAGTAAGTAGTAATGGATCAGGGAGCAGGACAGATATACAGATAACTGAAATACCAGAGTTAGGGGGTTACCGAAAGGAGATGAGCACTGGTTGTGGATTCGGATGAGTTGTGGACTGGACCGGACGAGTGGACAAATTGAATGACGAGATGTTGGAGGGAGATAAGATGTGGATAGGATCAGAGATAAGATGTGGATCTGAGATGAGATAAGGGTCGGATCTGAGATCTGGATATGCAGATATGACAGCTTCACTTGTTGCCACTGGAGCAGTTCTCCTTCAGACCAATGTGAATGGCGCATATCACCCATGCAGCTATCTCTCTCAATCCTTTAACCCCACTGAACAAAACTACCAGATCTATGATTGTGAACTCCTTGCTATCATCTGTGCTTTGAAAGCATGGCAACACTACCTTGAGGGAACCCTCACCCTGTCATCGTTTTCACTGATCACAAGAACCTCCTCTACTTCCACTCTGCACAGAATCTTACTTGCCGAGTTGACAGTTAACCCTGAATGAATTTAACCTTGAACTCCACCATGTCCCAGGAAGCAAACTTGCTGCTCCTGATGCTCTCTCACAATGCCCTGATCACTCTTCTGATTCCTCAGATAATTCCAATGTCACACTCCTCCCTGATACCATGTTTTCCCATCTTATTGACAATGACCTTGCCAATGCCCTGAAAACCACAAACCCCTCACAAAATCATTTCCAACAGAGGACCTCAGTTTGCCTCTAAATTCACCAAAGAACTCAGAAGACTCCTCAACTATGAAGTCGCACTTTCCACCACCTACCATCCACAAACTGATGGACAGACTGAATGTCTGAATCAGGAACTTGAAACCTACCTCCGCATCTATTGCTGCTCCACTCCTCTTGATTTGGTAAAGCATCTACCCATGGCCAAATTTGTCCACAACCACCAAAAGCATGATGCCCGCAATGTCTCCCCTTTCCACCTCATGATGGGTTATGAACCCCAAGGAATCCCCTATATTCTCCCAAACTCCGCCATCCCTGCAGCAGAAGACCAAGTCAGATACCTTCAGAAGATCCAAGAAGAAACTATTTCTTGTCACAATCTCACCATGCAATGCATGTCTGATCAGACCTTTGGAAAGAAGTTTGAACCCTGGAAGATTGGTGAGAAAGTTTGGTTATCGGCAAAGAACCTTATCACTGGACTACCCTCAAAGAAGCTTGCCCCTAAACACTATGGTCCTTTCACAGTAGAAGCTGTTCTTTCCCCTATCACATTTAAGATCTGACTCCCTACCTCCTGGAAATCACACCCTGTCTTCCATGCTTCTGAGTTATCCTCCTATTGGGAAACAGAAGTCCATGGCCCAAACCACACCAAACCACCCCCTGACATCATCAATGGACAAGAGGAATATGAAATAGAAGCCATTCTTGCCCATAAGGGAAATGTAAAAGGAAAATGACACTTCCTTGTATCATGGAAGGGCTACCCTTCTTCAGATAACTCCTGGCTTCCTGAAAAAGAACTAGACAATGCCCAAGAAATCCTGAAAACCTATAAAGACTGCCTTTGACTCTCTTGACTTTTTACCTAGAAACCTGATCCCAGACATGCCTTCTTCATGATCCTCAAACTCTTCTCTTGAACTCCATCACTCTCAGCTTGAACTTCACCACAAGTGAGCTCTTGTTGAATCAACCCTTTCTTCTCTTCCTTGTGTTTTACCTTTAGACCATTTCTTTTCTGAAGACATTGTTTCTCTTTCTTTGATGACCATCCACCACAGTGCAGACCTGGCATCTAGCTATGCCCATACCATCACAGCCCCTGCTGAAGAAACTACCAAGTGTTCTATCATTTATCATATGACCAAGATCAAGTCCCTCACCACTGAACAACTCCTAGATCAAGGGTTTGAGCAAGCACTCACCCCAGAAATGATCTCTGAAATCATGAAACTAGAACACTCTGTCTCTGTTGAACCCCTTCATTTCTCTACCCAAGAAGTCCCTAGATCTCCATCAGAATCTTCTGATAATGACATCCCTGTCCCTGCTCCTTCACAGCTCACAGTTTGCTCTGCAGGAAACCCACACCATGCTCATGGTAAGAAAAAAAACACAGTTGCCTTTGGAATAGGCCTCTCTCATCCCATCACACCATCCCCTGCTCCACCTATCACCATTGATGAGGACAAACCAGTATCCTCCCTCAATTCTCGTGCCCCATCAGAAGAAACTTTTCGATGTGATAGGAATGGCATAGACTATTATGACATCATTTGTCGATATTGCCAGCAGGAAGGACATTGTCAGATCCACTGCCCTCACTATTTCTGCCAAGAATGCCACCACCATGCTCCAAAACATCTCACAGCCTATTTCCCTACTCTTCAAGGACATCACATCATTAACACCAAACCTGGCTCTTGGGCCTTCCACTACCAGTTGAAAATCTATGAAGAAAAGAAGGACCTTGAACAAGAAGAGCATGAAAAGCAGTTTGCAAGAGATGCTGATTTTGACCCTAACAACTATCAGAATCTTAGTGACTGAAAGTTAGTGACTTCAGACATTAACAGGGGGGTAATGTTACAGTACCCCACTCTTTTTCCCATCATCACTGTGGACACCTTGTGGCTGTACTTCTAACACTTCCTTTCACTGTGCTGTTTCCTCATGGTCTCCTTTATCTTTGACTCATACTCTGTTTTCCCATGAACCTTCCATTCCTAGTACTAGTGACCCTTTGCCCAGCATGGTCTGTGCACAATTCCCCCTATGTATATAAACTCTAGTTACCACTTGTATTTTCTTTAACTTGAATCTACTTGGTTCTCTTTCATACTTGAACTCTAGCTCCTTGGGAAGGAGGCTAGCCATTGTCCCATTTGAACTCTAGATCCTGTGGGAGTCTAGACGATCACTCCTGAGGGAGGCATTGACTTGATAAGGCTTAGTCCTTGATCAACCTTGATCCTTGATTCCTTTATTGGAACAATGCTCTATCTGAGTTTGTAACAGAAACCATCAACCCAGCTTGAAAAGTTGCATCCACTACGCTTTGTTGTTGACAAGAATAATAAGCCTATTCCCTTGGAGTGTGTCACATCAATCCGTACCACATCTTGATAGGTGTTTGTGGACATCTGGAATATCAATGAGGCTCCTAAAAGCTGGGGAGCAGCATTGGGATCTGCTAGTAAGCTGTACTACTGAGAAATGGTAATGTTCTTCCCTGAGCTGGGCTACTGTGATGGCAACTGGAAATGCGATGCCATTGCGACTGCTAGCTATACCTCTTGGCACAAGAATCACATCAACTGCTTGGACTGTAAAGGGACCTACAAACCAACAGCAGAAGATGTCATCGATTTTTATAACCTCGAGACACTGGACTCTGACGACACCGAGGGTACTAACACAAAGACCACCAAATGGCAGACCTGTGATTCTGAACCACTTGACACCAGGTCAAATTCCAGTAAGAAGCGGAAGTCCTCAGAAATATCTAGTAAGTTCATTGATTTTATCTCTATAATCATTTAACTGTTTACTACATTAATAGCAATTGAATATGCACCACCATCACTACCAGTCCCAGAAGCCATGGACTCAACTAGTCGATCCCCTAGTATGTTATTCAGTTTGTTCTTCACAATCCCACTGCCTTCACTTAGCAATAGTTCCAGATGGGAATACCCCACCAGATTCAGAGTTCCAGCCCACTAATGACCATTCCATTTCAATGATTGCCAAATCTCATGCTGCTAGCTCCTCAAAGGAGATGCCCACATCCAGTGCCCCTGCCAGAGTATGTATTTGTCTCTATATTGTCACCTCACACTCAGATGCTTGTTTGTAGTTCCATGCATGGTCATTGAAATTTGCAAACCTGCTGTAAGCCTGCTTATTTATTCAAGAACTTGAACTGACCAACATTAGCACTACTCTTGAACCAACCAACACTAATCAACTACCATTAATTCAACCTCCCCCCTCTGAAGATATTCAGTCTATGACTCTGGCAGAGGAACCAATATCTATACAGCCCACCAGTGAACCTGTGCTGCAGCCTTCCATTGTACTGATGCCAGGACACTCCCCAGATGACTCTGAGATGGTCCCCAATGCCCACCCACCAGCCACTATTCAAGTCAGTGCTGATGTGTGTTACAGTTCTATTTCTTTCTCTTTCACCTCTTCACTTATTCATGATTACTAATCATTCTTAGACATTCTATAACATTCTATCATACGATTCTCATTTCTCTTTTCCGATTCGTTATTTACTTTCAATCTCTGATTCATTTATTGAAACTCCGCTTTAATTCCTTATATATACTCTATCTTTTACGCTTGTATTCTTTAACTTGACCTATGCAGACCAGGGCCTGCAATATACTGCTTAACTCGCACGACTCGTACATAGGTGTACGCTTTAGACTCTTTGTGACTGTTTAGCCATTCTTATGAACGCCGAGCGTAACAATGTGATACCAACCACTAGCAGTAAGTACTGCCACATAACCAGACAACCAGCTCAATTCAAATATCCTTCCAACAGCAACCATGGTATCTCTACTAGTAGATGCCTCTGCTATCAGCAAATCCCAGACCAGTGTGCCAGCAAAGAAGTCAAGGAAGATGCAGATCAGGAAAGCACAAAATGGATGGTATGTCTGCATCAGTGGTGTTCCTTGCCATTGTACGTATTCACAAACTCCATAACAGTAACCTATGTGCACGTGAATGGCTCACTTGTAACAAGACTGGATCAGCAGCTGAGCTCAAGGCCTACTATGATGGACTGTCAGATGGAGAGAAAAAGGTGTGCCTTCTGTCTCATTTGTCCTCAGGTTGGACTAACATATTTAATCAGTCATATGATAAGCTTGCTGCCAAGAAAGTATGTACTATGACCTAGTAGAACATGTTGCACCTACTGACAGGTATTCTTTGAACTAGGTTGCAGCTAGTGAATGGCCCCATTAGCGACACCACTCTCCTTCCAACCCAACTTCTTGCAACCTCACTGCCTCCCTGCATTATCTTGATCATCCTTGCACAAGGATCGCTGTCAGCGACAGTACAAGTCTCCCTCCAACTTCTTATGATCTCACTGCCTCTTGGGATCAGACAAGGAACAGCTGCATATGAATGAGTGTGGTGTCCTACTACTTAAGGGTCTTATGTACAATGCATATATAGTGACAACACAACTATACAGGATAAGACTTCTTGTCAGTCCTTAAGTACACGGTCTATGACCTTTCTAGTTTTTGTGGTAGATAACATGTGAGTTCTTGGGAGGGATATGTTTCAATTATCCTCTTCTTGTTTCCTTGGTCTAAAAGCAACTGGTGGTCTGGAGTACTACATGTGAACTTTTTGAATGTGTAGCACTTTGTGTGCTTGAGAATCATGTCTCCCTTCCTGGAAAAGAGAGAAGAAAGTGGTGTAGATGAAGTTTTAGCTTTTAGTCAGCTGTACTGTTAGTTATATAGTCAACCCCTGTAAGGTAGTATATAACCTGAATAGATATTTCTTAGTCTTACTTCAAGGCTACCGAATGGCCTGCACTTAAATCTTAAATGTTCTCACATGGTTTGAGATAAAGAGTGAAAGTGGGAAGTCTATTTTCATAAGTGTAAAATGAGCTCCTTATATACCTTTTTGGAGACCATCTTACTAAGCATGATTCTTCACAATGATTGGTAAGAATGTGCTTACAAACTTGTGTTGAGTCAGCTTGTTTACTAAGTAGATACTAAATAAAGTGAAATCTTACAAAGCATAAAGAAAAGTGGCATGAGTCATCACATGGATTGGTAAGATTTGTGCTTACAAACCAAGCCTATGGGTGTGCTGAATCAGCCTTATTACTAAGTAGATTATAAATACAGTTGCAAGTCTCACAAAGCATGACAAAGCATGACCAAACATGATGAGTCAAGTTGAATCCTTACAAATCAGAGTGTTTTCCCAGTCACATGACATGCTTACAAACATGCCTGGTGGCTCATGAGAAAAATGTGGTGGCTGAATATGCCTAAGTAAAGTAGAAAGAGAAAAAAAGTAGAAGTGAAATCTGAAAGTGAAGAACTAGCTAAACAATAAGGAATAATGATGGGATAGCTTGGTGATAGGGATCAGTCTGGTGTGTTATACCTTCCTTATCACTCCTGTTATATATATGTCATGGTATGGATCACATACCATGCATGACAGTGGGCTGGAACAGATGGTGGTGGGATGTGCCAAGTTTTATTACATATATCCGTCTACCTGTAATGTATACTACACAATACCAGCAGATCTGGCACAATATAGGATGATGCAACAAGCATTGAACCAGGCAATACCAGCAGATCTGGCACAATCCAGGATGATGCAATGTGTCCTGTAGCCACACAATGTCAGGAGATCTGGTACAATCCAGGGTGACATGCAAATATTGCATCTGAATAATCTGTGACAATCATGCACAATCATGCACATTTGCACATGTGCTATTAGTCCCATTTTTCTGTTAAGATTGTGTCACTTAGTTTAGACCATTTCATGCAACCTCAGCCATTCTCAGAACAGTGGGTTTTCACTGGGACTCAGCACTATATGGAAGGTCTTCATACTATGTCTTGCAGTCTGGATTGCAGTAAAACACTTCCATGAACTATGACAACATCTGGCAGGAGGGATTATTGAGGACTGTTTCACAGTGTTGATCAAACTCATGTCGTTTACTTTGTGAGGTAAGCTCATATTGTGATTATTATTCCTTTTTCCACTGATGGGTTGGATGTGGTAGCTTTGTTGCTGTTTCTTGCTTCTCTCTCATTAATGATTTATATCCAACATTCTTCGCAGTATGTCAATCTTTCACTTGCCTATGCATGCTATCACAGTTTATTGTTTCTATAGAGCAGTTCCCTGGCCCCTCAGATTCTTTCAACCATGCCTGATCCTTGGTGTTTGGGAATACTATGCTAAGCTTGTGGCCAATTCTGACACAGCAACTGGTATGACCTCAATCACTTTCCAGGAGTGTGTGGAAATATCAACTGGCAGTGGTGTGTGATAATTGGTGGAGTTAACAGCTGTCTTGTGCCCTCCAAAGAGCAGGGAAATTTACTTTTATTTATTACCACTTTCTTGAAAGTATTGATCAAAGTTATTTGGTGTTCCGAAGTAGATTTCAAGGAGACATAAAGTTTTCATTGTATTATTCAGTCAAGTGATCTGCTATACATGCTGATAATTTTAAAATGAATATCCTGAAATCTATACTGCTACCCACACTTGCACCAATCACTGGTTCTTCTTCCTCTGTCTGATAATGATCATTCACATAATTGCTTGGGCAAATGAAATGAGGGTGCAAGAGCCAAGTTGAGCAACAGTGCACAGCCTTGGTTCCTCAACAACCTGTCCTCAATTTACAATGAGAACATGATCAGGGCACCAGGCAAATAAAATGTGTTTTTTTAGAAACTTGAATTCAATCTTTGTACAAAGGAGTTCCCCTTGTGTTCTTTTCATTATCTGTCCAACTCAAATTACATGAAAACTCATAGTCTCAAGCCTATACAACCAAACAGATGGTCCAAGCTTACTCAAACCTGGTTCAAATGCAAACTGGACCCTCCCAAATGCATTTGGTGATGTTTGGTCCAGGGTTTGACCACATGGCTAAACCAAACCTATGGTTCAGTTCAGTGTTCAGAAAATTTGCCCCAAGAACCGGACCAAACTGGACTTTGGCAGCACTATGAGTTCGTAACACAATCAGGATGATGCAAAATGTTTCAGTGGCATCTTATGATTTCATGATGAGAGCACCTGGTAAGAGTCATTTAACCGAACTCCCTCATTCATACCAACAAGATTATCTAGTTTGGACTGAGTCATAGTTTATACTGTTGTATTGTGTATGTATGTATTAGCATAGTCATGAGAATGTGCTACACTTGCATTTGCATTTGCATTGCAAGGTTTCATCCCTCTGTGCCGGAAAGGAAGACTGCAGTTTGCATGACAACCATGCTCACTAACAACATTACAAGTCTGTCATTTCAATTATTTCCAGCAGACAGAGCCAGAATATAACATCAGTCTCAATATACATAGACATGACAGTACATACTGTCATGCCATGCCACTACATACTGTCATGCCATGCCACTACTCTGTGGCTCAAACAACATGACCATTATGTCTGTTGGTGCAACCAGACATTGACATTTGTCCCTGAGGGTTGTCTATTGCAATGAGAGGATGACCCGCTCACAGCAGACAGAGCCAAAGTATATATACTCTTGATTAGTGATGTGCATGGCCCAGCTTCAAGCTGTGGGCTGGCCAAAGCCAGCTCTAGTTAGGCCAAGCCAGGCTGGGCCAAAGTCATGGCCTGACCACAGCCTAGGGCCTGGCCTGGGCAGTTGGAAAGCTGGAGCTGGTGGCTCAAGCTGTGGCTTTTACTCTTACAGCTATACTAGTCATCTGAGACAACAATGAGCTCAATTGTTAATGTATCACTCTGATAGTCCAAAAGTTGCAAATTCTCCTTTGTCTGAGTCAAGCCCTCTAACAGTCCTTCAAACAAGCCTCAATTAAAACCACTGAAATCCTCGGCGCTACTTCCTCCTTACCACAGACTCATCTGCATGTCAGCAGCTTCTATGAATCCAACATACACTTAAGCACATCTGAGACGTCCAATGGAATGGAAGCCTGAGAGAAGTCAAGTGTTTGATGAGTGTTTGCAGAGCTTAGCCAAAAGGAGCATCAGAGCATCAGAGCACAGTGTATCTGACACCAGCTCATACTTGTATGCTAGCCAGTAAGAACTGTGAGTCATCTTTTGTCATGCTTTGTGAACTCAATGCTACTTAGATCTTTGAAGTGTCATCTATCTGTGGCACAATCTCAATGATTTATTGAGATAAATAGTATTAGTACATTGCTATCCCTACTCACAAATCCCTAATTCTAATGGCAGGAACAATCCTCTCAGATAGTGATGACAAACCTCGACTAGTGCATCCAGCATGCAAAATTGAGCCCTCTGCTGCACTCCTCGAGCATTCTGAGAAGGCAGCTCTCCCATCTCAAACTAAAGCCATCAATGCATTTCGTGCAGCAGAGGCCACAAAGCATGGTTCCAACAATCCCCAGCCCACTAACTCTGTTAAGGTCATACTCAAGGGATAACTGGATCTGAAGGGCTTTGGCCTCAGCTCGTGCACTGTGCCCCTTACCCGAGTATTGCCCCTTATTTCAGGGAGGCAAGATTAACACATCCAGAAGGTCAGACAAGTATTGTAGTGGATCCAGATAACTTCTGGATGTGGGATAGGTATCATAGGGCTAATCCAGATGAGTCCAGACTAGAAACTAATGGTAATAGACTGTCGGAGACAGAGGCAGATACGGATAGACTATAGGAATCAATCCTAAGTCTCAGAGGGTGACGAGAATAGAGATACTCAAGTCTGGAGGATGGGAATGAGTAGAACTAAGATGATATTCAAACTGAGGTACTACAGAAAGTTACAGGAGGTTATATACTATAGGTATCTAACGGAATGATCAATCAGCAGAGTCCAAGGCTATGTATGAAGCATGTGGATAGTCTATTGGTAAGTAGAAATGGATCATGAAACGGAAATGAAACATAGGTAATGGATCAGGGAGCAGGACAGATATACAGATAACCAAAATACTGGAGTTAGGGGGTTACCAAAAGGAGATGAGCACTGGTTGTGGGTTGTGGACTGGACCGGATGAGTGGACAGATTGAATGATGAGATGTTGGAGGGAGATAAGATGTGGATCTGAGATGAGATAAGGGTCAGATCTGAGATCTGGATATGTGGATATGACAAACTCACCCAGTCCACCTGCTCCTGAACCCACTGTCCCTGCACCTACTAACAAATGATCACACACCAAAGATGCTGAAGAAGGCTATGAACTGAGTGATGAGGAATGTGAAAATGCATGGACAAACTCCAAATGTAAGTTTATCTATTCATGTAAGAGAGTGTGTACAAAGCTCACCTGAAACCATCAGCCAAACAAACCCACCGGCATCAGCAAGCTACTGTCAAAGACCATGAAGATGTGGACAAGGATGGAATTCTCATAGATATTGGCATACTG